GTGACATACACACTCACTGACAGACACACTATCTATACTGACACACTCACTGACAGATACACTATCTCACTGACAGACACACAATCTCACTAATACTGAGACTCACTGACAGACACACTATCTCACTGATACTGACACTCACTGACAGACACACTATCTCACTGACAGACACACTCACTGGCAGACACAATCTCACTGATATTGACACAATCACTGACAGACACACTATCTCACTGATACTGACACACTCACTGACAGACACACTATCTCACTGATACTGACACACTCACTGACAGACACACTCACTGACAGACACACTATCTCATTGATATTGACACACTCACTGACAGACACACTATCTCACTGATACTGACACACTCACTGACAGACACACTATTTCACTGATACTGACACACTCACTGACAGACAGACTATCTCACTGATACTGACACCCACTGACAGACACACTATCTCACTGATACTGACACCTCACTGACAGACACACTATCTACTGACACACTCACTGACAGACACACTATCTCACTGAAACTGACATCCTCACTGACAGACACACTATCTCATTGATATTGACACACTCACTGACAGACACACTATCTCACTGATACTGACACACTCACTGACAGACACACTATCCAATGATATTGACACACTCACTGACAGACACATTCTCTAACACACGAGTTAAGTTTATTTAGGACACCCAGCCTTTGGTAGAACTGGTGAGGATCCTCTCCCTGGGGTCCAGTATTTGTGTAAGCTTTCTGCTCTGAGGCATGTCATTTTAAATCGTCATGGAGACAGTTTTACTCTTTAACAGCTTTTAATGACAATGAAAAAATAAAAAAGATTCTGACTTTGCAAAAATCTCTTCATATAATGAGATGTTATTCTGGGGTGAGCTCCCCTTTAAGTAATGCACATTCATTGATTGCGTAATATGATGTTGAGGTCCGGTTGTTCTGGAAAAAGAGGAATTGGTCGATAAATACTGACAATTGTAAAGGAAGTTGTGAAGCAGTTTTGAGAAAGTTTGTCAGCATGAGTCAGGCATTGCAACACGCCACAAATCCAAGGTCAATAACCATTTTTTACAGTCTGACATACGGACTCCTTGTTCCTTGTTTTGGTTTTGCAAGTGTGGCAATAAATTAGTGGAAATAAAAGAGGAAAATAATCTGTCCTTGCTTAAGGTGTAGAGATAGTATCAAAACATAACGTTTATTATCTACAAAGTAGTGCTAAACAAAACTAAATAAAACCAAAATACGCGAGAAGGGATAAAAAGTAATGGTACTATATAGTTCAATATAAATAGAACTACCGAACAGAGCACAAACTCTGATCAGGAGTACAGAAAAAGGGGGCTACAGGGGTAGCAAACAGGGCTTAACCCTATATAGCATATACGAAAAGAACAGAAAGGTGGTAGAAAGACTATCTCGCAGATAGATGGGATAATCTTCCTACCCACTCTACCCCCAAGAAAATACTGATGTGGCCTAAGAAGTGACACAGTAAAGATATGTCAGAATAAATATATATCTTTAATACCAAAGATTCACATTCCCTAGAATCCAATTGTGGCTAAAAGCAAATACCATGCACAGAGACAAAAGAAAAAAGAACAAATATACACACTATTATTAGCTCACATTCACTGCCAGATTGATCTGTAACAGAAAGAGTGGTAATAAAGTATCAGACTCAGTTGTTACATAGACATACAAAATAGAACCAATGTAACGGATGTCTATTCGAAAGATCAAAAGTCTGCAGGAATGTGTGTATAAAGAGCAAAAACCATGTATATAGAGCTGTGACCCAATAAAATATATCAAGTACTGAGGCACAAAAACAATCCCCCCTCCCTATTATATATACAATATTAAATAATCCTTAATGTCCATATGAAAAACAGCTATCCAATATGTAAGATAGGAAATCGAAAGGATAGCAAGGCGAACATAAAAGAGGAAAATATATAGGCAGAAATTGTCATAGAAGAGAAGAGGGGGTCAGACAGAGGTTCACTAAACTGAAAACGAAAGGGGACTTGTCCGATATAGACACCTCTAAAGGAGTAAGTGCCCCCAGATAAAGTAAGTGACCGGCCAGTCATACAACTTATATGGGCACAGCAAAATAACAAGGACGCTACAAAAATAATGCTAACAACATATCAGCATCAGTACTACCCGACGCGCGTTTCGGCGGGTAAACCGCCTTTCTCAAGGGTATAGAAATCCCCTAGCTCACCCTCGTCCATTAAGAAACCCCTTGCTCCTCCTCCCATTCCATTAGTGACCAATCATAAATGCCGAACATCGGGTAAAAGATGTCAATCAATACCCCAACACAGGGGGAGTGAAGTACGGTAAGCCGTACGATCCAATTGCTTACACATGCGTAGAAATTGTCCAATAGAAAACACAGATCATCCGTTAAAGAAATGTCAATCTCCCGGCAAAAAGGAGGAGGGGGAGGGAGTGGGCTAAAGTATGTCCTCAGGTCCGATTACCCGCGCATGTGCGGAAACTTGGAACCACGCCAGAAAAAGACGATACATAAAACCCAAATTTGTATCTATCAGAAGAACAATCTACATCATAATGGGCTATCCAAATGTGAAGAAGGAGAGTCTTAATTAGTGTATAGGGGTTTATAATAAACACCCCGGCTGCATAAATAAAGATACATTCTCTCTTAAAAAAGGAAAGCCAATAGGTGAATGAAAAACTATCACCATAACAATTTAATCGATTGACATACAATATAATATTAATAGCCAGCCAAGGAGAAGGGAGGAGGGGTGGGGGAGGGGGATTAAAGAAAAGAAAAAAGGAAAAAATGGCCAGAAACAAGGAGGAAGGGGAGGGGGGATTAAAGAAAAAGAAAAGTGTCAGAAACAAGGAGGAAGGGGAGACGGGAGGGGGATTAAATAAAAAGAAAAAAAGGAAAAAGTGGCCAGAAACAAGGGAGGAAGGGGAGAGGGGGAGGGGGGGAGGGGGGATTAATCAGAAACAAGGGAGGAAGGGGAGAGGGGGAGGGAGTGAGGAGGGGGAGGGGGGATTAAAACATAAAGAACAATAGTAAATCAACATTTCAATAAATTATAAATAGATACGCAGAAAGCCAACAAAGTATGTAAGTGGTCATCATAAATGTAAGGTAAATAAATAAATAAATAAATAGTTGGCAGGCTGTAGATAAATATGTCTAAGTCTAAAAGGGAGGACGTCAATGACAATAAAAGATCCAAAGCACAATTAGTACACTACCACTAATTAGATGAAGGGGGCAAACGAAAAACCTTCATTCAAACCCAGGGGATGGAGTGTCTTTAGTTGATATATCCACCTAGACTCACGTTGTCTAAGGACCTTATCGAAGTCCCCACGTCTAGGGTTTCTCTTCACTATTTCCAATCCGCAAAAGCGGAGATTATTGGGAATGCCGTGA